CGGGGGGGGGGAGGGCGAGAGGAGGCGGGGGCGGGGAAGCGGGGGAGCGGCGGAGGCGACGGCCGTTGCCTGTCGCTGGGGCGGATCCTGCGGGGTGAGGACCGGTGAGGGGAGGGCAGAGAAAAGGCGGGAGGAGAAGGTCGGTGCCGCTGGGAGGAGAGGCCTCCCCACAGAGCTGGCGCCTCTAGGAGCGAGGCGGAGAGAGGGCCGAGCGGCACCGAGCCCGCGGCTGAGGGGATGCCACCGGGGGCGGCCGGAGGCGGGGGCGGCGTGAGGGGAATCGCCTGGTGAACGGGCCGAAAAACGCAGCCCTGATCAGTGCGAAGTAAGTCACGTTTGGGAAAACGCCGGTATAAGTGACGGTGAGGTGTAAATGAGCACCTGGAGGTGGCTCTGGAGAGTGCTGCCCGGCTGTCAGCCCTGTCAGGGCGGCAAAGCAAAGGGCCTGAGGGACAGCTTCAGAACAACAAGGAATCGTGAAGAGAGGCTAAATACATTCGTACTCTTAAAGAGCGGGAGGACCGAGGAGGGCTGGGGTGGGCATCTATACGATCATGAAGGAACTGAAAAAAATTACGGAGTGATTCTTCATGTTCACGGTGCGGAACTGAGAGATAATTAATCATCAAATATAAGAATAAAAGGAGATGCTTTTTCATAAACAGAATAACAAAGCACTTCAACTTGCTGCCATATGCTTGTAGGTCAAAGATATGTAAATGAGTTCAAAGAAGGATTAGAGAATGACTGCTGACCGTGGTGATCGGGAGGTGAATTCCAGATTAACAGGCCTCCTAACAGCAGACCCCTAGCAGACTAAACCAGGCTTTCCATAGCCACGCTCTGTTCTTTCGCTCTTCTCCAGACACCTGTATGTCACTTCTTTGTTGTGTTTAGTCTGATCCAGTACAGCAGTTCTTATGTGCAAAGCCGTCAGGCTGCTGGCTGGGGAGCCGTGGCGGGGATAGACTCATAGGATGGTTTGGGTTGGAAGGGGCCTTAAAGACCATCTGGTTCCACCCCCTGCCACGGGCAGGGACACCTTCCGCCAGACCAGGCTGCTCCAAGCCCCATCCAGCCCGGCCTCGAACGCTGCCAGGGATGGGGCAGCCACAGCTTCTCTGGGCAACCTGTGCCAGTGCCTCACCGCCCTCGTGGTGAAGGATTTCTTCCTTATAGCTAATCTAATCTAAATCTACCCTCTAATGGAAACTTCTCTGGCTCTTATTTGTTATACCTTCACATTTAATCGTGTCTTTAAAGTTGTGCCTTTTTTTTTATCTGTTTAAGCAAAGAGAAATTTACTGGGGAAAAAAAAAAAATCTGTTGGTTAAGTTTTCTCATCGTGCTTTCTTGCCCTGCCTGAACGTCGTCTTTGAGCAAACTGATATTTCTGAAAAGATTGTTCCTCTTCCCCTCCCGCCCCCAATTCAAACTCTGCCTTGTGAGCAATATCCCAATCATATGCAATAGTGTTTTATGTGATTTAGCATTTTGCTAAATCTAGAGATTTCTTTTTCCTACATAAAGCTTAGTTTCAGCTTGGAAAATAAGACTCAGTTTGTGGTTTAAATCACCTACCGTGAGGTAACTGACTTGGTGGGCAAGGGGAGAGCAGTGGATGTTGCTTATCGGAGGGAAATTATCCATGTGTATGAATACCTGATGGGAGGCTTTAAAGGAGATGGAGCCAGGCTCTTCTCAGCTGTATCCAGTGAAGGAATGAGAAGCAATGGGCACAAATTGAAATACAAGAAATTCGATTTAAACATAAGGGGAGAAACAAATGCAGTGAAGATGGAACGGGTTGTCCAGAGAGACTGTGGGGTTTCCTCTTTGGGGCTGCTCGGACCCGGAACGGACGCTGTCCGGAGTGACCCGCTGTCGGGTTGAGCAGGGGGGTGGGCTACGTGATCTCCAGGGGCCCCTGCAGACCTGAGAGCCTGTGATTCTGTGAAATGCAAAAGCGGAGCAGTTCTGTGCAGATCTCTCTATTTCTAATTGTACAACTTAATTGTAAGTTTTACAAATCACTTAGTCCTTGCTTAGGCAAGGGTTTCTCTTACAACGTTACTTGCTGAGGTTTAGCAAGGGGAGAATAAAGTAACGTGATAAATGCTGTCGGATTGCTTGTAGCTCTCCTGTAAGTATACTTCATGTAGTTATTGATGGGGGAATGCAGGTAGATAAAGATCATCACTGAAATCTAGGAAATAGCACAGAAAATTGCATGTATGGATCTTACAGCGTTGATTCTGTAGTAGTACATTTTTTGGTGGTCTTTGTCAGGTCCATGGGAGACTGAAATTATGAGGAATATTAGCCTGGTATTCAAAGCCCTGAGTTTTGTTGCTGTTTACAAGAAATGTTAGGCAGTATTAAGTCTGTGTTAGCACTGGCATCCTGTCAGCGTGAGTTAATTAATTTTATCCCTTTATGCAACTTCTGATAAGTGTTATAGTTTTCTGTCCTAGTGGGAGTTATTTGCATTGACGTATGGTGTTCTTGGGGTGAGGGAAGCATTGACTGAAAATTGTCTTGTGTGTCAGAGCAAGCTAGCAAACTTTGTGTTGTATAAGGTTTGCTCACCTTGATCTCCAACAGTTACCAGAATCTTAACTTTAAATAAAAGGACACCTAACCAGTAAGACTTAAACAGTGGTTTTATAATATGATACATAACAGGGAAACGTGGACTTGAGAGGCCTGTTACACTTCAGGGCATTTCTGTGACTAGAGAAAGATGGAGAGAAAAATTACAGCATCTAAGGCTAGTATCTAGTTGTGGTTTTATGCAATTTTTTTACTGAGGTTCATTAATGTTTTTGGATTTCAATACTGTATTTTATAGGAAAAGCATTTCCTTCAGAAATGGAGAAGGTTTATGCAGACCCTAACATGGAAGCGTAAGTTGAAACCTTCTGAGAATTTTATTGTGGTATAAATATTGTCATTTAGAGGCAAAACTTTTCTTAATCCCTGTGTGCACTTCAGTATCTCTTCAATGAAATGTGTTTTCCCTTGCAAATAAGAAGAACAGGGAGTTTCTCTGATTGTGTGTAGGAAAGCTCTGAGGAAATGTCACGGCAGTGGATTGTCTGGAGACTAACTGACCATGGGGGTTGGAGGGCAAGCTGATGAATTTTCCGAAGCTTATTTTTGGGAACTAGTGCTGGAATGAATGATCTATTCCAAGCAAGCTTGTCTGTTTAATTTCACACTTGTAAAAATAATGGAGAAATCAATTTATTTACCTTAAAAACATGGCAATACTGCTCAAGAAATACATCTGGGTTCAAGTTTATGCCCTAATACCTGTTTCTCTTTTTTCTTCCCCAGTGATAATACAGAGCACATCAGAGGGAAGCGACTGTCCTCTGTGAGTAACTTCAGGCATTTCTCAAAAGAAAACCGTGAGAGTGAGTGACGGAAAGAAAGGGAAGCTGTAAAGAGGAACTTGTTTTCTCGTCACAGTTGAAGAAAAGCATTCCAAAAGCAAAGAAAGAGCCTATTAGATTGATATGATTGATGGGGGCACTCTTATAAATTCTCTCCAGCCAAGCAATCAGCTCTTGTAGTTGGAGCCGATCTTCACAACTATTATATTTTCTTCCAGATTTTGAAGGCTCCGCGAAATCCTCTTGATGATCTGGGAAACGGGAATGAATTGACGCAGGTAGGTCTATTAAATCCTTCCTTGCCGGCACTCTTAACATCTTCAGTTTGCTCCTCAACTTGTCGCTGATTAAACTGTGTCGCTAGAATAATGCGGGTGTAAAAACTCTTGTAATAACTGCTTAGGAGGATAATGTTTGGAGTATTGCATATTATAAGAAACCCATCGAGTTTTTCTTATACTTCTATTTTACATCAGAATATTTCTTCTATCAAGAAGAGAGGAATAAACAGAGATTAACAGGCCTCGCTTGCTCCTGCTGTAGTCCATTTGACTTGGAGTTTGACCCACCAGTGTACAAACTGGTATAGTCAGCAAGATGGTTTTACATCTGAAAAAAACCAAGCCTGCCAACTGATTTAAAGTAAAAGCTACAAAATAAACATTTTCTTCCAGAAATACTTACGGAATATATTTCATGTTTATAGTGTCTGTTGTTTCTTAGAAATTGTAACTATAGGCCTGTTCAGCTTGGATTTCTTTTTAAATGCCATTTCTGCCTAGGGTGTGTTCTGTGGACTAATGTTCTAGGTGCATCATATATTTATATGATTTATCCATTGCTGATTACAGAACTTGAAAACTCATTTTTAGCATATAAGGCTTTCAGTGAAAAAGCCGCTAATAATTGCTTTAGAATATGAAATATGAGCCTGAAATACTTATGCACCACACATCTATTTCAAAAGGGGGTTGAGTATGAAGAACGGCTCAGAGTCTTCACTTAAACTGTAATACCTGTTAACAATGACGGACAGTACTGCTAGTGAGCAATATAAGACTACCTTCTACAGTAGTGTGACATCATTCATAACTGCTGGTGTTGCTGACATGATTTAAAAAAAAAATGAAGTATTTTACAGGCTTTGTTAGTCACGTGTGTATAACGGGTAGTGCCTGGTATGTTAATGCTTTGTGTTTTCTTAAACAACGAGTGCTCCACTGTCCTGAGACGGAGCTGTTTAGTTAGGGAAGCTTATTGCAGACGACTGCACAGCAGTGGTATGATGAATTAGCCTGCCAGTGTATGGCATATTGCATCCTTACATACCTTGAAACATTGCATTAGTATGATCACGTAGTTAGTGACACCATTTAAATATTTCTATAGGAAAATAGTGACTTTGATTCTTGCATGAATCCTTCCCTTTCTCCCATAAAGACAAACCCTTATTACCATTTTTTTTTTTCAGTTCTTGTAAAGGAAAACTAAAGAAAAAACCCACTGCAGCTCTCTTGCTAAGCAACTACATATATTTACCCTAGTATGCCAGACAGCACGCCAGACAAAAAACCTTACAATTCGTATTCTGCTTCTTGTGTTTGAAACCAGGCAGTTTTCACAAAGTGATCTTTAGATCCTACTTCGTATGAGATGGGTGCCTTTATGTCAAGAGAAGTTGGAGAACTATAAAGTAGTTTAAGGATGTTGGTAAATATCTGTAGTACTTGCTGGGCTCGTAGATTATTATTTTGAGGGGGATGTGGGTTTTTGTTTGGTTTTATGTTTCATGAAAAGCTATGCTTATTGTGGCTTATGGGAGAAGAACAGTTCTCTGTATGTCAAAGTGTTGTGTTCTTTATTGTCAGGATATCAATATAGAAAAACGTCGGAAAAACTCTCGCCGCGTCAGCTTTGCGAACACCATAAAGTAAGTTTGACCTGAAGGCTGCAGATCTACGTCCTTTATTTAAGCACAAAATGCAGGCTATAAGTAATAATCTGGTATGCCCTAAAATTGCTGTTTGCATACGTTTGTGAGTATTCAGTGAAGGCAAACTGGTGACTGTTGTTGTATTGAGTTGATTTTGAGCCCTACAAGACCCATTATTCATTTTTTCTCTTCCTAGCTAGAAAAAAAAACGTCCAGTGAATTTAATATAATTAGGAATTTTTGCTTCCCGTTACATTTTTTTAGTGATTTCCATCTTAAGTATGATAATGGCATCTTCCCACTGGAAAATATGGTTGGGTTCAGTAAGCTTCTGACTTTTGAGATCTCATTTCAGAACATACCACATCGAAAAGACTGAAATTAGGGCTAATTTTTTTTTTTACTTTTTTTTTTCTTTGCTTCAAAACAGATGGTCTTGTGTTTTTCAAAACCTGGGTTGTTTTGTTTTGTTTGTTAGCTGCAGAGTCTTCCAGCGAGATCTTAAGAATAGCACGGCAGAGACAGAAAGTACAGGTAAAACTCCTTTCTCTCCTCTTGATAGGATTCGCAGACTATTAGCAACAAGACTTTAGCCTGAATTTAAGAAGTCAGGCTGTCAGTCACAGGTAAGGAACAATATGGTCAGCTGTTTATCATGGCCTGGCTGAAAACCCATTATTTACTGGTATGGTGGACATTGTAGCTCAGAAGAGGAATTATTTTCTTAGACAAAATGCACCTAGAACAAAATCTGCCTCGGGGATTTAGATCAAAAGAAGGCTGAGCAAAATGGCATATTCACCTAGGAAGAATCTGAAAAACTAATGCATTTTCAAGTACTTCGCTTCTCTGGGTTTTTGCCACGATAAGGCGGCACATCAAGAGTGAGAATGTCAGAACGTTTTCTGTGCAGTTTACTCTTGTCTCTGAATGTTTTGATCATGCTTCTCACATTGTAATGCCTAATTTTCTTGCTGTTTTTAGAGTGTGCAGCAGATACGAGGAATGATGTCCTGCTTAATCAGTAAGTTTGAAAAAAATTCCCATGACTATAGAGTTCTGTCCTGCAAACGCATTTCTTCACATGACGTGCAACCATCAAAATATTACTCCTCAAAGAAATGCAGCATACGTATTTATTTAGATATAAAATTGCTCAGTGCTTTTGATTGGTGAAAAAAGGGATACAGCTGTCTTGGTCGCTCACAAAAAGATAGCGGTTTCTGAAAAATGGAACAATTACGGCTTGAAACTGCTTCCTTCCAAAGCTGATTGCTTGGGAATGTTTTCCAGGAAAGACCTACCAGATCCCACATCTGATAGACATAGTCTTCGATATTTATTACTATAACTTTTTCCCTCAGAGGTAGAGTTAGTCTGGCCTCAAAGTTCTTGTCTAGATAAAACATGATGACGGGATTTTTAAAATTAAAATGACCAGGTAAGTAAAATAACAGTTTTAGACAGTTTCTATGTGTGAAGGGGAATTTCTTACATTTAAAATTTATAGCAAGGAAACAGCTTATGTAGAACTATAGTTAACTCATGCTTTTAAAGGTATCAACCCGATATAGTAACGTGTGTGTGTGTGTGTACGTGTATATGTCTATATATATTTATATATGTCTATATATATTTATTTAAAAATACAAATCAGTACTCTAGCTAAGGTTTCTTGGTCTTGAAAGAGCAATCAATAAAACAATGGAGAGCAGAAGGCATTAAAAGTTAGATGGAAAACCACACAAGCTGATCGTTGTATCTGGCTTTTTATTTTACAGAGATACGATTTCAGGCTTTAGGAACACAGCTTCAGTTTCCCAAAGAGAAAGGAATAACTAAAAGTGGAAGGTCTGAGTTAAAAATAAAGAATTAATCTTTTCTCTTTTTTTTACTTGTCACTGAGGAATTAAAATGCCATCTGTATGTTGAACAATGGCTTGTGGCATGCTAAGATGAGAGAATCTCAGGGAAAATAAGATTGCAACTCAAATTAGAATATATTGAAGACATATAAGTAGTGTCTGGTACCTGCGGCCCAGTCCTGTATGAGCTATGCAACAGAATTCTCTGCCTTTTCAGTACATTGTTGAAGCCTTCTGTTTTGAAATCTTTTAACAAACTGTTTGCCTAACCCACCTTTTGTAGAAATGAAGAACCTGAAGCTGTTCCCTGTGAGATCACTGGTGAGTTTGGAAATAGATTTAATAACAAAATGACTCTCCTTATTCAAAACTATTGATGCTGTTTGAATAATTTTAACACGCCTAGAACAATCTCCCGGACCGAGGCGACTATTGCATGAACGGGCTGTCCCACAAAGCTGTGTACAAGCACTGTATTGTAGAAGTAGGGGTGGCTCTGCCACAGGCTGAAGGCAATACTGAAAATATTTCTCGGGATAATGTGGTTTTAATTGTACTTACTTCCTCAGTGGTATTTGTAACAGGAGTGCATAGATCTTTAGCTCAGTGGATAAAATAAGAAAATAGCACAACAAATGGAGTATTTCCTTCTCTCTTAACAGGGATGAACACTTTGCTTCATGCCCCTATACAGGCATTGGTGCAGCAGACTGAGGTATATGAAGGCTTTTATTTTTTTTGGTGCTGAAAATATTAGTGACCAAAATATATCCCAATAATTTGTGTAGTAAAGATGAAAAATGTAACTCAACTGCCTAAAAAAGAAATCCTTGTATTCACAAAAAAATCTTCTGAAATCTAATCTTCTGTATTTTGAAGTATTTTCCCAATCTGATAGGCATTACGTTGCAGTATTGGTAACTCTGGCTTCTGAAATTGCTTGCTCCTTTTTCAGTACCTGAGCTAGTTCCTCCATTCGTTTCAATTCCTATCTAAGAATATGCAAAGGAGCTCATGTTTCCGATAGGTCTGGTTATGTATTTTCTCTCATGTGTTACTCTCTGCTTGTGTATTTTTTTCTTCTTCTATGGGTAGAATGGATATGCACAAATGTACTCTTCCTGCTGTTAAAATGCTTTAGACAAATTGCAATGGCTAGCATGAAAAGGTAACTGAATTTCTTTAGTTGAATCAAGTAATAACACACACAATTCTTAGCTAAGCCCTTCGCAGGCACAATCGCACGGAAATCCTGAACTGTGTTACCCTTCCGTGATGATGTTATGGCACCGTGTTGTTAAACAAAGCGATTGTCGAAACAGTCTCCCTTACTGCAATGGCTTCTGACTTTTACGTTGAGTTTAAAGATATGGCTTAAAAACATGTGTTAGCTCTTGTTAATGAGTGTTAAAAACCAACCCAAAACCCAGTTAAAACCTAATGTGGATGAGGAGATGTATGCTATAAGGCTATAAAGGTCAGATTGAAGCTGTCTCTCCTTGTTTTGTGTAATGTATATGGTTGTGCTTCTTCTAGTGTATTTTATTTCTTGCATTTATAAAATAGCATATGTAATTTGAAGTAAACATGAAGCTGTTCTTAATCAATACATTCATGATATTTGATAAAATACAGTCTTGTATCTTGTTACTGGCCAATTTTTTCCTACAGCTTTAAACCTGTAAACTCTGTCTATTAAAGAGACTAAAATTTCCCTAGTCAGTGGTGGAAGTCTTTCAAAACTTCCAACTCGGTGCTGCTGCTTTGGGGCACGTGCCTGATAAGCTGGGCAAGGCTTTTACCTCCAGTTATTGGGGGGGAAAAAAAGGCAGAAATCACAATGTAGAGATACAGAAAATACGGATCCGTAAGACTCGGTAATTGTTCCGTGCTTACCAAGATATGTCTAGATACGAAGTCTTTGCCCAGCAGTAAAACTGAGGCACATTCTTTCCAAAAAAGCCTTTTAAATATGATATGCTCTAATAATTAAGTCGTCATCCTTTCCTTGAATGTGTTATTGCTTATCGAGGAGGACTGAAATCAATAATTTTCTTTTTTCCAAAAAGAAAGATGTAAAGATAGAGCTCTAACCTTAGGACTGCATTAGTTAACTTTTGTTTTAAATAAAGCATTGTATCATTTGTTTTAAGTGTCAGTAGCTGTAATTGCTTACTCTGTTTTGTTTGGTTTTTTGGTTTGTTTTCTTTTTAGTGGTATGATGTGGACAACACCATTCAAAGAACAAATAGGCATGACACCACCCTCATCTTTTCGGATGGAAATGAAATGGATATGACAGCTAGTCACACTGCAGTGATTACACGTAACCTGAAAACCAATCAAGCCGACAAAACTGAGAAAAGAGATATCACGTCATTTCTGGCTGGGTTAAACTCTAACAATGGAAAGGCAGAAATGAGCAAAGAATTTCGTTTCTTCTCTGACCCTACAAATGATTTGTGCCCATCTTTTGAACAGAAGGAAGATGCTACTGCTGTAAAAAAGATAAATTTCAATGAATTTTTGATGACCTTGAAGTCAAACGAAAAGGCACTCAATCCTTTTGAGGGACCTGAAAAAGAGAATGTTTTCTTTGTCCCTTCGCAAGTCTCGGAAGACACGGCACGATCGCCAGTGGAATTTGTATATTCCCATGAACCGCTGGACACCTGCGATGTAACGAAAGCCTTCAGAGGGCAAGATGATGGAATGGAAATGACGAAGTGCCAGGCATCTGATGTTAAAGCTATGTTTTCTGGTATTTGTGAAGCTCCACCAGAGCAATTACTGTGTGTGGATGTTACCGAGGCATTTGTAGATGATGGAATGGATATGACAACTAGTCACACTGCAAAAATGTCTTTTCCCTTCTCCAGTGTTGGGAATCAAAGTCTAAACTTCAAAAAGGATTTCCCATCCACAGAGTTAGATAATTCTATATTAAAGAGAGCATCTAATCAGCACTTAATTGTTCCGCAGGACTCTCAGCTTTGTACAGACAAAACAATAGTAAATGTTGAAGACAGACGAGATCCTACAGTGCTGCGAACTGTTAAACAAGAGGCCAGAACAATGTCTGCCATTCCAGGATCCATTTCTTCTGAGACTGTCTTCCGAGGTGATAAAAATGTTGTTTTTCCTAGCTGTGATGACATGGAAATTACTGGGAATTATACAGATATAATCTACAATGACAGTACGAAAGAAATGAATGGTTCACACCATCAAGCTTTTGAAAAGCCAGCTAATACAAACTCTTCACTAGCAGAAAATAGACGTCCAGCACACGGTGATGGGGACATCACAAGGAGTTTAACATCTTTAGGTAATCAAGCTTCTGTGTCATATAAAAATAGTGCACTTGAACTATCTTCGGGCTCAGATGAACGAATCGCAAAAGCGACCCAGGACCACGGGGCTGCTTCAGTGAATGTTGGTTTTGATTCATGGACAAATTCAGCGTCTGCTGGCATTTCTAAGAGCAGACTTCCGCACAGACTAGCAAACTCTCACCCTGTTTCTCTGCCAGGTGAGAAGACAGTCATATTCTCCGGAGAAGATATGGACTTGACCAAAACCTGTGTTGTCAAGGATGATGGAAAGAATGTTGAAAATGAATGTCCTGCTGGGGCGTCCACCTCTGTCACCTGCAGACCTCATTTTCTTGATAACAGATCTGCATCTTCCGATGGAAATGAACAGGAAGAAATGGAAATAACTAAATGCCATGCTGTTGTCATTGATGATCAAAGCAATGGGATAACTGCAGAAGCAAAACAAATGCATTATAAAATAATTCCAAGAAAGAACCAGAACAAAAACGTCAGTAAAGGTGCAAATTCTTTAGATATGGACAAGGAAAATCTTGAGGCGATCAGTATCGACGGGAATATTAAAAGAAGCCAGGCTATAGAAATGAATACTAAAGATATTGAGATGATAATGATTGATAAGAAGCTTGGAAAAACAAACTTTCAGGCAAGTGGTCCAAGTTCCCGTGCAAAGAGCATGTGTTCGTTACACGAGCAAAAGAGAGAAGTCCCTGAGAATATCGTCACCGACACCTGTGCCTTCGTGTCTTCGCAAAGTCAAAAAGTTGTTATATCTCAGCCTTTGGGAAAAAACCTAACCGCTTCTGTTTCCTGCACAAATGACAAAACAGGCAGGTTTTCAGATGATGAAAACATGGACGTAACGAAAACTCATCCTGCTGCCTTTGATGTTGCTCCTGTTAATACAGTACAAGAATATGAGAGTAATCATTATCAAAATAAGGTAATACCCAGGCAGCTGCAAAACAAGACCGTCCAGTTTTCTGGTAGTTCTGGTGCAGACATCACAAGTCAGACTGCAGCAATAGAACGTGGGGGTTTGAAAATGAATACAAATAAGCAAACTGGTACTCCTTTGGCTCCAAATGGTTCGTTTATTTCCAGTAATGAGCCTGTTCCCTCTGGAATGCAAGGAAATGAACAACTTGGAACAGCATTAGGAATAAAAGCAGATTGCCAAAACTCAGACAGGCAAGAGAAAACCCATACTATGAAGGCAGTAAACAGAGTATTGCCAACTCATATAGATTCTGAGAGAGACTTTTCAGTTGGTAAAAGAGTTTCTTCAGAAGAGCATTTTAATAACCCTCACTCAGTTGGTGGCCTGCACTCGAGGGGTGCTGAAGAGCCGTTGCTAGCCAATGCGTCTGAACCACGCAAGGGAAGTTCCCAGTTGCCTTCGTTTTTAGAAAAGTCAGTTGTATTTCCCTCTGGTGAAAACATGGACTTGACTGGAAACTGTGCGATAATGGCTCCTGATCGCAACATCAATCCTGTTTTGTCAGAAAGAAAAGCGGTACCTCAACACATTGTTCAAGATGAAAATAAAATAATGCCCTTAAAAGGGGTCATGATGACAAGAAACGGTCAGGAGCAGCCTGCATGCGATGTGTACTCCTTGGTATCTGGCAAGAAAATGTTAACCATGACTGGTTTAAAACGTTTGCCTTTTGCAGGTGAGAAAACAACTATATTTTCAGATGATGCCGATATGGACATCACCAGAAGTCATACAGTTTCAGCAGACAAAATGATTTTGCAGTGTAAAAATACAAATGATGACATATCTTTAATTTCTGGAGATAAAACTTGTGTTTTTACCTACAATGATGACATGGAAATAAGCAGACTCGATACTGTTGCAGTTGACAAATCTCTGGAAAAGGCTGCATCTCAAGGGATGCTTAACGTGGCTAAAAGGACTGGAAGGAAAAGCTTGAAGGGAACAACAGGGGAAAAGACTGTTTTATTTTCACTGGACAATGAGAATAATGACATGGAGATCACAGAGAGCCATACGGCTGCAATAGGCCATGAAATGGTCTTGCCAAATGAGGTAGGGCTTCACTCTGCCTCTTCAGCTCATCCTGTTAACACTGTTAGGTTCACAAGTAGCCAGGCTGACATGGACATTACCAAGTCTTGCTCTGCTGATAAAATTACTGTGAAAGTTGTATGTGATGATAAACTGAACTTGGATAAGGAGGTTGGACAGCAAGCACTTCCGAAGAGCGAAGCTACTATGTTTGCGATGGATGATATGGAAATCACTAAAACCCATAATGTAGCTTTGGAAGAAAACTCTCTGCAAGGTAGGCAACCCAATCAGGCTGTTCCTTTAACTTCCACAATTATGTTTACGAGTTACCAGGCTGACATGGAAATGACAGAGTCTCACTCTGTTGATGAAAGTATTGAAAGGGTCTTATGTGAGGATCGATTAAACCTGGCTGAGCAGGTTGGACAGGAGGCCGTTTCGGCGAGCAAAACCGTCATCTTTGCTTTGGCCGAGGACATGGAGCTCACTAAAACTCATACAGCTGTATTAAGTGGTGAAACTGAGGTACAGGACAGAGACCCCATTCCAGCTGTTTCTGCAGTTCCTGCTGCTAAAACCATTGTGTTTACCCACTACCAAGAC